CTCCCTCCAGGGTCTGGCACATTTGGGTGGATGCAAAAATAATATTCTGCCCCCTTAGCATCCATTAATGAGAATTAGAGCGAGAGCTAACATCCATCTTCTGTGACATTTAAAGCTAATGAAGTCATTAAAGGCCACTTCAGCTGCAACATTAGAGGCAAACCAGAAGCAGGTCTCTAATCCCAAAAGTTCACAAGCTAAAAATGGAATCACATGCGCCAAAAAGAAAATCATAGAAACATAGTGTTGGAAGAGACTCCCAAGAGCCATCCAGTCCTGCCCTGTTCTGCCATTTAGGAGTACACAATCAGAGCACTCCTGACAGATGTCCAGACAGCTTCTGTTCTAAAAAGGAGGAGATTCCACCATGTGTGAAGGCAATGGCGTATTCCAGTATCAAACAGTTTTTGCCATCAGGAGGTTCTTTATAATATTCAAGTAGAATCCCTTATCCTGTAGTTTGAATTTATTATTTACTAGCTGTACCCACGACGCATTGCTAGGGCCAACCTTCCCTCCCTCTTTCTCTCCTCCTTTCTTTCTCTCCTTCCTTCCTTCCTTCCTTCTCTTCCCTTCCTCCCCCCTTTTCTTTCTTATCCTCTTTCTCCCCTTTATTTATTTATTTATTTATTTCGGTTACTTCTACCCCGCCCTTCTCACCCCGAAGGGGACTCAGGGCGGCTTACAAAGGCACAATTCGATGCCAGCATCACATAACAGTAATAAAACAAATAGCATCAATTAAATGGTTAAACAACCATTCCTGCATTACAACAATAGAACCAATAAAACCAATACAAACCCAATTACTCCTCATTGACGGTCAGCGTTCGCTATCTCATAGTCCAAATTCCATTTCCACATTGTCAGTCCTGTCAGTCCTAATCGTCTGCTTGTCCTTATCTAGTTGTCAGATTGCCCAAAGGCCTGGTCCCACAACCACGTCTTTACTTTCCTCCTGAAGGAGAGGAGGGATGTTGATGCCCTAATTTCCCCCGGGAGTGAGTTCCACAGGTGAGGGGCCACCACTGAGAAGGCCCTGCTCCTCGTCCCCACCAACCTCACTTGTGATAGCGGTGGGGTCGAGAGCAGGGCCTCCCCAGATGATCTCAAACTCCGGGGTGGGACATAGAGGGAGATGCGTTCGGACAGATACACTGGACCGGAACCGTACAGGGTTTTGTAGGTCAAAACCAGCACCTTGAATTGTGCTCGGAACTGAACCGGCAGCCAGTGGAGCTGACACAGCAGGGGGGTAGTGTGCTCCCTGTATGATGCTCCGGTGAGTAATCTGGCTGCCGCTCGCTGGACCAGTTGAAGTTTCCGAACAGTCTTCAAGGGCAACCCCACATAGAGTGTGTTGCAGTAGTCTATTCGGGACTTTTCCATCTCCTTAGCAGCAGATGGAAAAGAGTGATAGAGTTGGATGTCATCTGCGTACAGAATCCATTGCTCCATGTCCTCATTTCTAGAGAAGCAAAGAACAAACTTTCTCCATCTTCAATATGACATCCTTTCACGTATTTAAATTAAATTGGCTGCTGTAGGTCTTTCGGGATATATGGCCATGTTCTAGAATCATGCTTGCCATAGATGCAGGCGAAACGTCAGGAGAGACTGCTTCTAGAACATGGCCATATAGCTTGAAAGACCTACAGCAGCCCAGTGATTCTGACCATGAAAGCTTTCGACAATACATTTAAATTAAACTTGGAAAGTAGTCTTAAGAGTGCATCTTCACTGTAGAATTAATGCAGTTTGACACCAACTTAACTCTACCTCCTGGAGGGAAATCTAAGCATGCACATGTTTTCTGGAAATAAGGTAGACAAGCAAGCCTCTTCTTCATTTCCCACCCTTAAATTTTTTTTCTGTTTTTAGATGTCGCCATTATCTGAATAAGCCCAATGTCTTTGAGTCCCATTTCTTGTTGCCACAAAAGAAACAATTCTGTCTAAATATGGGAGGGAGATCCTGTAAAATGTTATTGAAAGCCAACCCTGGTTTTGTTTGTTTGTTTTTGTTTGTTTGTGTTCATATGTTTTTCCCCATCATGGTTATATATCCTTTAAAACAAAATGTTGTTGTTTTGAATTCCTCTGGGTGCTGGGCAAAATCTGACTTTAGTAGTTGAATAATTGTTAGTTTTGTTAGCCATCATAGAAACTTAAGAATAAACAACATTCTATTCCGTCCAAGTGCTGTAAAAGATGGTTATTTAAATGTAGATGAGATCGTACATCTGAGCAGAAGTTCAATGCTATAGGTTGAAAAACCCAAATATCCTTATGCATCCATGAGAAAAACAAAAAAAACAAAGTTCTGAGCACAGTTCAAAGTGCTGGTCTTGACTTATAAAACTCTATACGCTTCCAGCCCAGCGTACTTGTCTGAACGTATCTCCATCTACATCCCACCTCGGAGTTTAAGATCTTCTGGGGAGGCCCTGCTCTCTATCTCGCCTTTTTCGCAAACGCGTTTGGTAGGGATGAGGGGCAGGGCCTTCTCGGTGGTGGCCCCCTGCCTGTGGATTTTGCTCCCCGGCAAAATTAGGTTATCCACATCCCTCCTTTACTTCAGAAAGAAGTTAAAAACGTGGATGTGGGACCAGGCCTTCGGGTAATCATGCTGACAATAATGACAATCACTATGGAAATGGACTATGGACAAGCTTGATGGAGTCTCTAACCACATAAGTCCAACCCCATTCTGCCAAGAGGCAGGAAAATCAAAGCACCCCCAATGGATAGCCATCCAGCCTCTGTTTACAATCCTCCATAGGAGCCTCCACCACACTCCAAGGCAGAGAGTTCCACTGCTGAACGGCTCTCACAGTCAGGAAGTTCTTCCTAACGTTCAGATGGAATCTCCTTTCTTGTAGTTTGAAGCCATTTTTCCATTGCGTCCTAGTCTCCAAGGAAGCAGAAAACAAGCTTGCTCCCTCCTCCCTGTGGCTTCCTCTCACACATTTATACATGGCTATCCTATCTCCTCTCAGCCTTCTCATATCATATCATATCTCCTCTCAGCCATCAAAAACTTTCGGACGTCCCCTGGGCAACGTCCTTGCAGACGGCCAGTTCTTTCACACCAGAAGCGACTTGCAGTTTCTCAAGACGCATCTGACACGACCAAAAAAAAAATGGAACCAAGGATTGGTGATAAAGTTTCAGTTGAGACCCCTTTTCCCCAGGATAACGCTTACAAGAGTGAATTTCCCTGCGGAGGGAAAGATTTCCTATCACTTCCTGTTGTCTCACCCCGTTCTTAACTAAGAGTTGTTTGTAAGTCGAATGTTTGTAACTTGATTGTCTGTATAAAGCTGTGTAAATTCTCTGCAATCTTTATTTTTCTTTTCTTGACATTCAGCTGTTACTGGCCAGCATTCCTACTAGAAATTCTAAGAGTTGTCACCCCAAAAGTACTTTTTCCCATAGTGTGGTGTTTCACATGTGTATAGCCTTTCTATCTCACGGACCAGGGAAACTGCTCATCTGTTAATCATACCTTTCAACAGCTGCCAAGGACGGCAAAGTTATCTTCTGGGTTGAAAGCCAAGTGTGCAAAAGATGGGGATTAATCTTCGTTCGCTGGCCGTTGTCCCCCCCCCCCCCCCCCCCCCCCAAGATGTACTGAAACTGGAGCAAGGGGGACATGGCTATCCTATCCGTGCCTTGTTTATAAAGTCTGAATCATGTTGAAGGACCAAGAGTTCCCTTGAGAGATGTTTTCTTAGATTAAAAAAAATAGTATGTTTTTTTAATTAATGGTTTTTCCACTTTTGAGGGTGTCCTTTGCCTATAACCCAGCATTTCTCAACCTGGGGGTCGGGATCCCTGGGGGGGAGGTCACCAGGGGATGTCAGAGGGGTCGTCAAGGATCATCGGAAAACACAGTATTTTCTGTTGGTCATGGGGGTTCTGTGTGGAAAGTTTGGTCCAATCCTATCGTCTGTGGGGTTCCGAATACTCTTTGATTGTAGGTGAACTATAAATCCCTGCAACTACAACTCCCAAATGTCACGGTCTATTTTCCTCAGACTCCACCAGTGTTCCCATTTGGGCATATTGAATATTTGTGCCAAGTTTGGTCCAGATCCATCATTGTTTGAGTCCATAGTGCTCTCTGGATGTAGGTGAACTACAACTCCAAAACTCAAGGTCAATGCCCACTAAACCCTTCCAGTGGGAATTCTGTGTGCCAAGTTTGGTTCAATTCCATCATTGGTGGAGTTCAGAATGCTCTTTGATTGTAGTTTAACCATAAATCCCAGCAACTACAACTCCCAAATGACAAAACCAACCCACCCCCAACCCCACAACTATTGAAATGTGGGCGTATTGGGTATTTGTGCCAAATTTGGTCCAGTGAATGAAAATACATACTGTCTATCAGATATTTACATGACAATTCATAACAGGAGCAAAATTATGGTTATGAAGTAAGAATGAGAATAATGTTATGGTTAGGAGGTCACCACAACATGAGGAACTGTATTAAGGGGCCGTGGCATTGGGAAGGTTGAGAACCACTGCTCTAACCCCAGCAAATTTGGAGAGTGTACCCTCTTTAGGTGTGTTGGTTTCATTTGTCCATTGTTTACCCCCATCTTATCAGAAACATGCATGAATGATCAATAAAGGTTGCATCTTCCTAACCAACGTCTTGCTTGTTGCATTTCTCTTAATTTGGCATGCTGCTTCGGTATCTTTCCGCTAACCTCTTTTTATTGTACCTTGTCTGCATTATAACCAATGAGCTGGTATTTCCAGAGAGCTGTAGGATGTTGTTTTTGTTGTCGTTGTCGTCGTTGTAGATTATTTATTGCGAAAAGAAGCACCGCTGAATTATATATTCTTTCCAACTGTGCTTTGACTCTTCTCTCTCTGTTGTTGTTCTTTCTGTTTTGTGGTTCTTCTTTATTTTATTATTTTATTCCTGTGACCACTGAACTGCACGCTTTTTTCCTGCCTATCCCCATGCTTCTGCTCTGGCTGTAGGACTTCTTTGTGAACAGTAACTCCAGGCAGGTGAGTACGTTTCTGCCCAACTCTTTGGTCGAATAAGTGTGTGGTTCTCACCTGATGTAACTTCAGGGATTGCCTCTTCATTTATCAGGTTGCTTATTTCCTAAGAGCTGATAGAGAGAGCTGCCTCCGTGTCCTAACTATGGCAGAAGCTCCATAGATGTACACAAGTCAAAGGACCTTCTCAGTGTCTTTCCATGAACTGTTGGCATATCTTGGATTTTATTTCACCACATGGTGAAAACCTTCCTTTTCAAAGCTTTATTTCCTACTTTTTAATCTGTTTTATCTGTCTGTGTAATAATGATCAACGACACATGGGCAGAGGGTACAAGCAATCCCACCGCTGCCACCACTGTAATAATGGTTCAAAGCGACAACCCTGACAGAGGGGAACACAAACCCACCACTGGACACCAGTGTAACAAAGATCAAGGTTATCTTGGCAAGGGAGAACAAGCAATCTCTCCCACTGCCCTACAGCTTACAGGGTTATCGTTCAGCTGGACACTATTTCAAATAAAGATAGTTAACTATAACAAAGGGGGAAAGACTCTCTTATCCCACCTCAGTATTATATCTAATAAGTGACCAACTGTGTTGTAGTTTTAGACCGATGTATTTATTAAAATCACTGCCACCACCTCAATTGAAAAGGTCTGAGGAAAACCATATGTGTGAATGTGAAAATAGGAAGAGTTATATTTAAGCTCTTTGTTCTTCTTTAACCACTGCTACTTTTGCTGACTGGACTGAGAGCAATCTTCTTTAAGTTAGCTGAGATGTAAAGGTTGTAATAGACTGAGGCAGACTCCAATTTGAAGGAGTCTGCCTCAATTTTTTTATTGTACCACTAAAAAGAGTGGTACAATAATCTTGATGCAGTTCAGTTCTTGAGGCTTAGCTGGTTTTAAACAGGCAGTCTTACTTAAAGGCTTCAACTTTTGTTTCACAGTGAGTTCCTTGTCCCCACACTGATCACTAACTGACACAGTGTGTCTTTGAGCACAGTACACAAACTGCCTCCTAGAGCAAATCAGGCTTCCCTTTCACTGTCCCTACTCTGACCAGTGAACCAGGATCCTATGCCTATCCCTTGCTCTAATTCTCAAGGCTCACACAAAAGTCTTCCCTCCCTGCCTAAGATATTCACAGCTCTCCCTTCCTAAAATATACGTCTTTACTCCACGATGTCTAAACTCCAACTCTCCTTATTTGTCAAATAAGCCAGCCTTTTCCCCCTCTAAATCCTAACTCCACCCCTGACTGTCCTAACCAATCAGGAGTCGGCTGACTCCTCCCTCCTGCCTCTGGCTCTCTTGCCTAACCCAGAACATCTTCCATCTCCCCAAAGAGATTCAAGATGGCTTACATGGGGTCAACCCCAATCAACACAGTTAAAAAGTAACACAAAGCTGCATAAAACAGGGCCTTCTCTGTGGTGGCCCCCTGGCTATGGAACTCTCTCTCCAGCGAGATTAGGTCTGCCTCCTCTCTCCTGTCCTTCGGGAAGCAGCTAAACTCCTGTCTTTGGAGTCAGAGCATTTGCTGATTGATGGTGACCTGTTATAGCCTAAGAGTTATTTGACCACTACGTTCCCGACTGAGTTGGATGTTGTTTTTAACGTGATGAATTGTTTTATATGTATTTGAGAACTTATTTATTGTATGTGGTTTATTATGTTATTTATTGTATTGCATTGAATTTCACTGTTAGCCATTCTGAGTCCTTCCACAGAAGTAGAGAAGAATAGGATATAAAATAAATAAATAAATAAAATTTAATTATTGTGAGCTACCTTAAATGGTGTGAAGGCATCAGCGGGGCAAGCTGTAAGCCACTGTTGAGTAAATAGATATGTTGAATGAGGAATTGTTGGGATCAGTATATACGTTTTCCAAAGGACAATGGTGATGCTGGTACCTAAGAATAATCTGAATCTTTGTTGTTGTTTAACTTGGGAAAATGTCTATATAATCCTAAACCTAAAATTTAGCACATTATTTAAAAGAAATGCATTGACTCATTGCAACAGTACTTCGATACCAGAGATTCAAGTGTCTTGGATTTCTCACATTGTACATGAGACTAGATTAAGTAATTGTTTGTTAAATTGTGTTTTGTTCTTGTGTCCAAACTTATCTCTGCAACCAAACAATGTTTTGTTGAAGGCTTTCATGGAATCACTGGGTTGCTGTGAGTTTTCCAGACTGTATGGCCATGTTCCAGAAGCATTGGAATGCTTCTGGAACATGGCCATAGAGCAGTGTTTCTCAACCTGGGGGTCGGGACCCCCAGAGGGGTCGTGAGGGGGTGTCACAGGGGTCACAAAAGACCATCAGAAAACATAGTATTTTCTGTTAGTCATGGGGGTTCTGTGTGGGAAGTTTGTCCCAATTCTATCATTGGTGATGTTCAGAATGCTCTTTGATTTAAGTGAATTATAAATCCCTGCAACTACAACTTCCAAATGTCAAGGTCTATTTTTTCCCAAACTCCACCAGTGTTCACATTTGGGGATATTGAGTATCTGTGCCAAGTTAGTTCCATAACCATCATTGTTTGAGTCCACTGTGCTCTCTGGACATAGGTGAACTACAACTCCCAAACTAAAGGTGTAGATCCACCAAACCTTTCCAGTATTTTCTGTTGGTCATGGGAGTTTTGTGTGCCAAGTTTAATTCCCTTGTTGGTGGAGTTCAGAATGCTCTTTGATTGTAGGTAAACTATAAATCCCAGCAACTACAACTCCCAAATGACAAAATCAATCAATCCCCCCCTAAACCCACCAGTATTCAAATGTGGGCATATCAGGTATTTGTGCCAAATTTATTCCAGTGAATGAAAATACATCCTGCATATATGATTCATAACAGTAGCAAAATTACAGTTACGAAGTAGCAACTAAAATAATTTTATGGTTGGGGGTCACCGCAACATGAGGGACTGTATTAAGGGGTCGCGGCATTAGTAAAGTTGAGAAACACTGCCATAGAGCCTGGAAAACTCACAGCAACCCAAACAATATTTTATTAGTAACTACAAACCAGAAACAGAAGCATTGGATGATTTTTGTTTACAAACTAGCCTATTTAAACCATGGTTCATGGTTATATCTGAACCCAGAAGGATGCTTTATCTTCAACTTGTTTTCCAAGGCCCCGTCTACACTACAATTTAATGCAGTTCAGTTTCATTAAAGTGCATTATATCAGCCTACATGGATCATATAATACAGTTTAAATATGGCAGTGCAGATGGGGCCCCAGTTGTCCACCTAGACATGTAAGCTACCAAAAGCAGTGAGAGATAGATCAAAAATAGGGAGCAGTGTTTTTATGAGTGATGGTCACTCATAGGCCTGAGAGGTGTCTTGTGTCCAAATTTGGTGTCAATTCACCCAGTGGTTTTTGAGTTATGCTAATCCCACAAACGAACATTGCATTTTTATTTATATAGATTGACTTGCCAGGTTCCCATTGGTTTAGTGGTTCTACACTAGTTGGGACTAATTGCTGCATTTGGTTTAAGAAATGCAATACAAACAGAAATGGAAAACAAAAGCATCCTTGTTTATTATCCCAAAGTTTGCCCAAGTATATATGCTTCTAACTGGCAACTGAAACAGCAGGTAGAAAAACTATATCCGAGGGAAAAATAATGCCTTTCAGATATTGATCATTTGCAACTCCAACCACCCTTAGTAGCAATCCAATAATATCTAGAAAGCGCCATGAATTCAGTCTCTGTACTAGGTTCGCCAGTGGTTTGATTCAAAATAATGTGGGTTTGAATGAGAAAATCTTCATATTGAGTTAGAATATTGATAAATTTGGGTTATTCCTGATTTCCTGTGACACTCAGAGGTCTTTCCTAACCGAGTTGTTTCCAATCCCTGTTTAACTATTGATGTCAGAATTTGAACTTGTGGTCTTTTGTGTGCATAGTATGTGCTTTCCATTGAACTATATAGCTCTTAGGTTCTTGTAGGTTTTTTCGGGCTATAGGGCCATGTTCTAGAGGCATTTCTCCTGACGTTTCGCCTGCATCTATGGCAAGCATCCTCAGAGGTAGTGAGGTCTGTTGGAATAGGAAAATGGGTTTATATATCTGTGGAATGACTGGGGTGGGGCAAAGAGCTCTCTGCTGAAGCTAGGTGTGAATGTTTCAGCTGACCACCTTCATTAGCATTTGAAGGCCTGGCTGAGCCTGGGAAAATGTTCTGTTGAGAGGTGTTAAGATGTGCCTGGTTGTTTCCTCTCTGCTGTTTTGCTGTTGTAATTTTAGAGTTTTTTAATACTGGTAGCCAGATTTTGTTCATTTTCATGGTCTCCTCCTTTCTGTTGAAATTGTCCACATGCTTGTGGATTTCAATGGCTTCTCTGTGTAGTCTGACATGGTGGTTGTTTGAGTGGTCCAGCATTTCTGTGTTCTCAAATAAAATGCTGTGTCCAGGTTGGTTCATCAGGTGCTCTGCTATGGCTGACTTCTCTGGTTGAAGTAGTCTGCAGTGCCTTTCATGTTCCTTGATTCGTGTTTGGGCAATGCTGCGTTTGGTAGTCCCTATGTAGCTCTTCTTCTCAAAAGCCACATCAGGTTTGGAAACTCCAAAGGTATTTCTGCCAGCATCCTTGCTGCTGGTAAAATAGCTTTAGACGGAATATGGCAATTTGTGTATGCCAGGGAAGCCTTTCCGTGTTCCTCAATGTCTACACACTTGTGGGTTCTTAAATCTTTCCATCTGGATAAATATTTATACACTTGTAACTAATAGCCTCTTCGCACACGCACATGCCCAAAGAACATTCCAGTTTATGAAACAGCTGATTGTGCTTCAGTTGCAGGCTCTGGATTTTAATCATCGGCTTCAGTAAAAGTTCTTGATGGATGCTGGGTACGTTGGCATGCCCCGGAAGCTCCGAAATGCCCTTGCGCATCAGCTTATTAATGCATTCTTTTCATGCTTCTTGCAGAAAGAAGACTCCCTCGACGACACGCTGAGCGCCAGGCATAAAGTCAAGGAGCTTTCGGTCATAGACGGACGGAGAGCTCAGAACTGCAATATTCTTCTCTCAAGGTATCGCTTTGTTGCTCTCTCCCCTCTACGGGAACTGCTTGTTCTGGGACTCTAGCTGCAGGACGTCTCCTTTAATATTTAAAGATGCTTTCAGGGTCGAGTACAGACACACCCTGTGCTGAGTGACTCATTGCATAGAGAAATAAATATAGATGTGGTTCCATAGGCAGGTAGAAATACCTTCTCTATGTGTGTGCATGGATTAATGAAATATAGCCAATCTGCCAGGAGGAATACCATATATGGCTGCAAAATTCACAGGAATTATGCCAATGAATTCCATTGGGCTCCTCAATCCATAGATTCTACATCCACAGGTTCAAACTCCCAATTATTATTATTATTATTATTATTATTATTATTATTATTATTATTTGAAACACAACAAGATGAGTCCAAAGCAGACACTCTGCTGACTGTTGTATCGGATCACACATCGGACACTTCCCAAGTGTCTAGGACTGTGTGATGTATCGGTGAATAATGTATATAGATCCCAGTAAGGTGGCCTTCTGCAGCTGGCAGATGGTAATTTTGTCAGCGCCGATTGTCTTTAAGTGCAGGCCAAGTTCTTTAGGCACTGCACCCAGTGTGCCGATCACCACTGGGACCAACTTTACTGACTTGTGCCAGAGTTGTCAAGATCCAGATGCTTGCAAACAATGCCAGACACAAAATAAAGGTTCAAGCACAGCTTTATTGTAAACAAAAGGACCCAAAATGCACTTAACTGCAGTCCCTAGGAGTGATTTGGCATCAAAAAGGAGTTGTTTCAATAAACAAAAATATAATCCGGATTATAGAGTTGCCTTATAATCCGCTTTAAACAAAAAGTGAAGCAAACTGCTTGAAAATCGAGGTATAGCAAAAACACAGTCACTGGAGCATGAAAAACACAATTTCAAAACTAAGAAATGTTTCAGTCACAAAGATATTAGCAAACAAAGTCAGAAAAGCCAGAGCGTAGTCAAACCGGTCTGTGGTCAATCCGATGAAAAGCAAGGCTGGAATCACTGGAGAAACAGAGGTTCAGGAACACACGAAGCTGAAGCCCAGGACCCAAGGGTGAGAGTTGGCAGCACAAAGAATTATGTCCAATAAAGACACTTTGCTTCCTGCGACTAGATGTGCCAACAGAACCCCCTTATATCTCAAAGATCATCCTCAGAGCTTGATGAGATCCCCACCCTCTCGTCATCACTATCACCTGCTCCCAAGTCTGCAGCTGAGTGCCCATCCCTCCACCTCCGCCAATTACTATCAGGGTTCAGATCCTGCCAAGAATCCCCTGGCTGCCAGTCCCCAGTGAATCCCTCAAACTCCTCGCTAGAGGTGGTGGGCTGGTTACAGATGTCCCTTATGTGTTGCACACGGGTCCAATCCAATTCCTCCCCCTCCATATCACTTCCAGACCCAGAACTCCCCTCAAATCCCAGGAAGTCATCCTCATCAATTGGTGCACTAAGTATTTCCCGAATACGCTTCCTTTGTAATTCCCCCTCAGATTCCGGCTCGCGAGCAGCCCTTTTTACACCTCTGCTCACCTCCCCATTCCCCATTTCGTAATCTGAGAAGCCTGGAAACGTATCGGTATCACTTGGAGCCATGATGATTTCTTTAATGCCATGACCATGCTGTTCTCCCTCCGACTCTTGAGGAAACCTTTCCCCTCTGTTACTAGGAGTGGCAACTCTGTCAACAAGCTGAACTACAACAAGAGTCTTTGCATCAATAATAATAATAATAATAATAATAATAATAATAATAACTTTATTTGTACTTTATTTCTATCCTACTACCATCTCCCCAAGGGACTTGGTGCGGTTTACATGAGGCCAAGCCCACAATACATCAATAAACAAAACATCAATAAAACAATCAATACAATACAATTCATATAAATCACATAAACAAAAAATAGGCAATAAACAATCAACAGTGACATACAAGCATTTAAAACCAATGGCCGGGCCAAATGTAATAGATTATTATTTTTTTTTAAATAATGCTGACGTGAACAAGGTAGGATATAACTGGGATAGGATTTTCAGAGAGAATTGAGGGAAAGCAGTCAGTCCTAAATCAGTGGTAAAGTGCATTTTTAGGGCATATTGCTGAGAGTTTTTCTTATTCTGGGAAGGCACACTGGAACAAGCACGTTTTCAGGCTCCTCCTAAAGGCTCCTCCTAAAGACTGCCAGGGGAAGTGAATAAGAAATTATTATTATTATTATTATTATTATTATTATTATTATTATTATTTCTTATCCACCTCCCCTTGTGGCTCAAGGTGAGTTACAGACTAATTAAAACACATACACATGTATAAAAATACCACAAATACACATATTAAAATGTATTTTATAAAAATACATGGTAAAATGCATTTCTATGTCGGACACAACTAGTCTTAATGTCCGGGGAAACCTATAAATTCCTAGGCTTGTAAATATACCTTCCCAAAAGAATCCCAATAGCAAACCTTCCTTTTTCCATTTTTATAAGGCAAAGGAACAGAGGTTTATTTACTTTCAGACTTGAAAGGATGTCTGATACAGAGCCCCTGCTCAAAAGGAATTGGACATTAGCAAGCAGTACAATGCAAGACATTCTATACACTTTGAGAAGTATTCAAAGTTCCCATGCCCTCCTTTGATTGATCAGAAAGCAACCCAGATTCAGTGATTTTATATAAGAGACACTGGTTTACTACATTGTGGCTTATCATTTGACTTCTCAATCCACTGATTTTGTTATCAAAATATCAAATTTCAAGGGATATCAAGGAACCTCCTCTACCAGTTTTGGGGTGATGGATGAAATATTTACATATGCTAGTAGGGTCTACAGAAATTAAGAAATTTGTGATGAGGTTGTAAATATCTGACCAATGAAAATGCTGACCAAGTGCCTAGATGTTGTTGTGGGGGAAAGGATCAACTACAACAGACGAACCGAGTCTGATTTCCCACTTTGCAATGGAAATCCATTGAGTAACCTTATGCAAGTGGCAACTTTCTTGGCTTCAAAGGAAAGCTAAGGCAAACCCTGTATGACTAAATCTTTCCAAGAAAAACTTGTTTATTTTATTTATTTATTTACAGTATTTATATTCCGCCCTTCTCACCCTGCAGGGGACTCGGGGGATATTACAATGTATATATACATGGCAAACATTCAGTGCCATAGACACACAACATATATAGACAGACATAGAGGCAATTTAACATTCCAACTTTTCATGAGGGTAATCTGGCCACCAGGGGAGCTGTTGCTTCACCATCCATTTGTGACATTGATGAAGTACTTCCTCATTCTTTGCAGGCTTGCTGGAGATTTTTATGGCATCATAAATTAGTTAATTTAGCCTCCCCGCATAGGCGGTACCTAAATTTCCTACTTGACAGATGCAACTGTCTTTCAGACTGCAAAGGTTGACAGCAAGCTACACAAATTGGTTGACACTCAGCCTGACCCAGGCTGGCTTCGAACTCATAATCTTTCAGTCAGTAGTGATCTTAATGCAGCTGACTCCCAGCCAGCTGTGCCACATTTGGTGGCAGCAGCAGTGGGGATGCAACAGCACCAGTTGGAAGTGGCGCAGTGGGTTAAACCGCTGCACCACTTGTTGACCAAAAGGTCGCAGGTTCGAATCCAGGGAAAAGCGTGAACTTCTGCTGTCAGCCCCAGCTTTTGCCAATCTAGCAGTTCGAAAACATGCAAATGTGAGTAGATCAATAGATACCGCTCTGGCGGAAAGGTATCAGCGCTCCATGTAGTCATGCTGGCCACATGACCTTGGAGGTGTCTGGACAATGCTGGCTCTTCGGCTTATAAATGGAGATGAGCACCAACACCCAGAGTTGGAGATGATTGGACTTAATGGCAGGGGAAAACCTTTATAAAACATTAAAACCAACCCCACTAAAAACATAGCATTAAAACATCAATCAAAATCACATTATCCCTTGTCTTAGACCATGCTGAGTGGAGCTGATAGGAATCGTCACTCAAAATTTCTGGAAGACCAAAATTCCCCTACCCGTATCATAGACATTTCATTGGTTTTGGCCACAAGCAAATGGGAGTTTTGTTTGATCCAGCCCTTTTCCTCCTGATGTTTGTATTTTTACAGACATGCATTTATTTCAGAAAGCAGCACACAGTCATACAGAGCACTTTTTAAAGATTGGGTGGGAATCGGTACATTGGGTGGGATTGTGGTGAGAGGCTGACATTGGTTAGTCTATCTCACTGGACTTCCCTCAGACTAATCTATCTGCCAGGATTTTTGGGAGGATCGTAGAATTATAGAATCATAGAGTTGGAAGAGACCTCATGGGCCATCCAGTCCAACTTCCAAGAAGCAGGAAAATTGCATTCAAAGCACCCCCAACAGATGGCCATCCAGTCTCTGTTTAAAAGCTTCCAAAGAAGAGAGTTGGAAGAGACCTCATGGGCCATCCAGTCCAACCTCCAAGAAGCAGGAATATTGCATTCAAAGCACCCCCGACAGATGGCCATCGAGCCTCTGTTTCAAAACCTCCACCACACTCCGGGGCAGAGAGTTCCACTGCTGAACAGCTCTCACAGTCAGGAAGTTCTTCCAAATGTTCAGATGGAATCTCCTTTCTTGTAGTTTGAAGCCATTGTTCTGCGTTCTAGTCTCCAGGGCAGCAGAAAACGAGCTTGCTCCCTCCTCCCTATGACTTCCTCTCACATATTTATGCATGGCCCTCATCATGTCTCCTCTCAGCCTTCTCTTCTTCAGGCTAAATATGCCCAGCTCCTTAAGCCACTCCTCTTGGGCTTGTTCTCCAGGCCCATGATCATTTTAGTCGCCCTCCTCTGAACCGTGTTAAATTCCAGGGATGGTAAATCAAAAAATTGGCTCTTTGGCATATTCAGAGCACCGCCCTAAAAGCATCCTTTTTTATATTTCATTTTTCTTCCACCACTGAGTTGATGAAAGATTTCTCCATTCAAACAGTCAACCAGGAC